CTGCTATGACAGCCCAGGCCCCTCTGCCCCTCCCGCACCTGTGAAAATGGTGCCTCCTCCCCAGAGCACACAGGAGCCGGCCGGGGAGGGGCTGTGGGCCGGCCCCTGCGGTCACACGGGGAACCTGAGAGGGGAGGTGGAGGCCAGGGCTGGCCAGGTGTGGCCTGCACTGTCCCTCCCTCCCCTGTTCTTCAAGAGCTGGACCGTGGGGTCTGGAACTACCCTTCAGTGTCAGTGTCCCCTCAAATCAACAGATTCCTCTGGGGAGCAGGTACTTTCAGGCTAGAGATTCTGGGGACGAGGAGAAAACAAAGGTCACCCGAGAAGGAACGAAATCTCTGACCTCTGTGGGGGGTTCTTGCACTCACAGTCATGTGGACTTTCCCATAAAAGAAGAAAGAGAGGAGCAAACACAGCCCATCTGAACCCAGAGAGTGGCAGGGCTTCTAGGCCGCTGGCTCCAATGGGGCTCAGTTTACCCGGACCACACTGAGCGGTTATTTATTGGTTTGTCCCTCTGGGTGCTGAAATCAGAGCTGGGGGCTCATTGGGAGTTCTCGGGGCTTACTGTGGCACTCATGGCTGGAATGGTGTTAAGCAGAGAGGGAGAAGCAGCGACGGTTGTTCCACCCTTTCTCCGTGATAGACAAATGGCTTGGACTCAGAGACATCTCAGGTTTGCTGTCATTTCCAAACACTGGACGTTGGATGGGAGTGGAAAAATCACGGAAAAAACACCCCCCCAGTGGCTCCAGCCATCATGTCTGCAGCCCCCGAGTTGGAGCTGAGCCAGTTGGTGTGTGCTTGGAGATCCCTGCTGCTCAGGCTGGGGCCAAGGGGGGGCGTCCTCTCTGTGACTTCTCCCCTAGCACCCCCTTCTTTCCTCCACTCTGGCCCCTTCCTGCCATCTCCCCCCTCCCACTTCCTTCTGTTCCTGGAGCTTCTCTGTGTGTGCAAGAGGGCACACGGGAGAGCCAGCGAGAGAAAAGGACCTGCGAGGGGGAGTTTGGGGCCTCGTGTCTGCACACATCTTCTTCTCGTGCTCATCTCACCGCCTTGCCAGGGATGCGGAGTGTTGGGGAGGAGGGCAGCGAGAGGATAGAGTGCAGCCAGAGGGCAGGGAGTGTGGGGGAAGGGCCGGAATTGGGGGAGAGGTGTCTTCTGTGGACGGGGAGTCACAGAAAGCCAAGGCACTCGGGATCCCCACCAAACAGGGGCCCAGGCACCCCCACCCACCGGAAGTGACCGAAGACACATAGCCCAAGGGTTGTCAAAAAGGGCTGGAATCAGGCTTTGAAAACAGAACTCAGCCGCATGAAGTAGCTTGAAGAACGAAGCTTAGAGGTCTGTGGTCTGACCAGGGGAGCCACGTGGAGGGGTCCTTCTCTTCCAGCCCCAAGCCCGATGAATGCTGATGCCGCCCAGCCACCCACTTCAGAGAGGGTTATGGGAAGCCAGCTGAGCAGGGAGGAAGCTCAATTAACCTTGTTCCCAGGACACGTTAAGACTCAGGCCTCAGGATGGGTGCTGAGTTGCTTTTTTCCCCAGTTCCCCGGGCCAGGCCTCGCCCATGGCCCCTGTTACCAGCAGACCAAAACTCCTTTAGATTAGGGTCTAGGGTGTGCGCCTTGCTCCATGTTCCACGCAAGACATGGGGGAGGAGGAAGATGGGTCAACTGCTTTCTCCCAAGAATAGGGGTGATTCAGAGGCTATAAGACCTGCTTAGACTACCGACAGGAGCAAATTCTGGGGATGAAGGCCCAGTTCTTCTCGCTCTAGAGAGGCGATTCTATGAGAATTCCAGAGAAGGCGGTGAATTTTTAAAAATAATCACAGTGAAGTTCTCCGGAAAAATGGGGTGACTTATGCCCTGAATCCCAGCAGCGCATTGGGAGGGGCCTCAAGCTGTTGGGCGGCCCCCGCCCCGGATGGGGGCGTCCAGGCTCCCGCGCCCTCCCTTCGTGGAGAGAAAGCGTAAGGTTGCAGAAGAGTCAGCACCCGGGGTCGGACAGCTCCCGGCCCGGGCCCTGCTCTGCGGCCCTTCGTGAGAGGTGAGGAGGGAAGCGTGGACGCTACCCAGGAGACCGAGAGGTCATTTCGCTGACCGCGGAGTTGAAGGCCAGTGGAATCCAATCCACCTTTTGCATTTAGGGCTTCCTTTTTTAAACTACCTTTCCTTCCCCCACTTTCCTCAGGGCTTAGTCATCTTGGAATCTTGGAGCCAACCCTTAAAAGTGTGGTACACCTGACCTCAAGCCCCAAACCCAACACTACAACGCCCCCGTCCACTGAAGCCCCAAAACAAGCAACAATGTTTTTTCTAAAGCAATTTAAGTAAGCAGCATTAGAAAAAGTGGGGTTCCTGTAGTCCTAGGTGTGTTCGGGCTTTGGGAGGGGAGTCTGTAGGACTTGGCTCCCTTCCCAAATATTCCAGGGGTCCAGTGGGCCCTGGTGTCTGAGACGGGGGCGTCCTTTTAGGGAAGTCAGTTCAGAGACGCCTCTGCCCCTGGAGGCTCAGGGAAAGAGACCGACAAGGCTACTTTGTCTGAGACACTCAAGCAAGCAGGGGGGGGGGGGCGGCTGGGGCAGGACAGGCTCCTCCGTGGTGCCCTTCCTCGGCCCCCCTAGGCTGAGGGTTTCCCTCTGTGAGGAGCCTCACCTGGCAGGAAGGAGGCTGTGGACCTGAGGGGCTCCCGCTGCCCCATCAGGGGAAACTCATGGCCAGGTCAGGCCCCACCCTGCCTGCTGGGTTCCCAGGGCTCAGGCACCTCACTGAGTTCTGGGGTGTTCCGCCAACCTAATCAACATCCCTACAAATTTCAACATTCCTTAGGCTAAAAATGGCTCATTCCCCTGAGGCCACTGAAATACAAATCTCAGACTGAGGACAACTCCTCCATTAACATTTCATCCTCATGACTATATATATATTTAATTTAAGAATATCCTTGTCTGGCTTGCGTGGCTGTCTGCTCCCGCACACTTGTCTTGTGCACCAGTGGGCAGAGGGTTGTGACATGACTGGCTGCTCCCAACTTGGTCATTTTTCGGCGAGGACGATTTTGTTTTCAGTGGAGGTGCTTGTGCGTGTTTGGGAAATGGGGAGTGTAAGGAGAATAGTGCAGTGCTTTGTGCTGGGGGCGTGTGTGTCTGTGTAAATTCTGGGAGGGGCAGAGTGGAACTGTTCTGGTGCCCAGCGGGTGGGTGCGAGGGGGTTTGGAGGGTGGGAATCCTACCCAGGAATGTCCAGGGTCCCTCCACCTGGCCTCTGCACAGTCACTTGACTCTGTCTCCAGCACCCAGAGCCCCAGCTCAATCCCTGGAATGAAATGAGGCCACCGTGAGAAACCGGGTCCGGCTTTGCATCTCATTTACATAAATATTTATTAATCGTCATTAAACTGAACAGAAACACGCAATGCACTTCGGGTGTCCGACGGGAGTTTAATCTTCGCTACAAGAGGAAGGTAAAATTGCGTGTGGGTGTGTGGGTGAGTGTGTGGGTGGGTGTGTGGGTGGGTGTGTGGGCGTGTCGCCTGTGGGTTTGCGTTTTGCACCGTGTGTGTGGATGCCTGATTTCCTGCGTCCGGTGGGGAGAGGCTCTTCTTTTGCCCCCTTTTGGGGGAAGCCTCCAGAAGGAGCCCTCAGCCTTCACCCTGCCCACCTGCCAGCCTGAGCCAAGAGGACGACTCGGACAGAAATTCCTTCTCCAGCCCCCGGAGCTCGCTGGGCCTCTGGCGCCCACCCGGGCACAGTCGGGCGGGGGCGGGGCTGCCCCCAGATTTAGGCCTCCACCCTCACCGCGGGAAGGGGTAGAGGTGCCTGTGGGGAGGGGAGCCGCGGGACTATTCCCCCCCTGCCCCCGGACGCCCGCGCCCGGCCTGCGAATGCTTGCGCTGTGGTGTGCGTGTGTGTCTCTCATGCAAACCCTCCCTCCCCAAACAGACCCCCCCAACAGTTTGCCATTCCATACAAATTTGGAAACAGGTTTTTAAAAAACAGCATGACGCACAACGGGGACGGGGCGGGGGAGGGCAGTGGCACTGGGGCCCCAAATCTCCGAGTCACTGATTGTAAGAACCTGGGGAGGAGGAGGGGGCGGCGCCGGCCGCCACTTCACCAAAGTGCACAGATCCGCGCTGGGGCGGCGCGGCCCGCGGGCCGGGAGGGGCGTCCCGGGGCCGGGCCGGGCCGGGCCGCCAGGCTCAGTCAGAACCTCCTTGCATAGATATTTGTGTCTTTTTATTATTGGTAGTAGTATTTTTTGCCTTTTATTGCTTCTAAAAGTTCTTACTGCTTTTTTCTCCGATCCGGACTCTGCGTTCGGCCTCCGTGGCCTCTTAACTTTTTTTTTTGTATGTTGGTTTGTTTTTAAAAAGGGGAAAGGGAAAAACAGATTCTAGTGACAAATTGTCTTGGTTTCTCTCTTTCCTCTCAATTCACATTCCCTCCCGCCAAAATTAAAATCACAAAACGCTGAGACTAGGGGTTAGGGGCCAGGGCGTTTCAGGTCCAGGCTAGGGCACCCTGACTTCTGCCCCCTTCGAGAGGAGGGGACGCCTGGCTCCTTTCTGCCTCGGCAGCTGGGTGTCTTTTTTTAAAGTAACAATAATAAGAGGAGGGAAACCGTCCCACAGCTCCGCTGCCTCCTTACCAGCGTCTCCGGCCTGCAGGGCAAGGGGGGGGGGAACCTAAGTGTATGGATTGGGGATGGGGGGTCTCCAGGGAGTGCCCCAAGAGGGGCCCCTGGAGAAGATCTCCCTGGGAAAGAGGTGGAGGAAACCCCTTGGGGAGAGAGAAGGCGAGTCCCCTGGGGGAAGCGAGGCCCCTGGGAGGGCCACCCACTGTGAAGAGGACCACGCTGCCCAGGAGAGCGGCGGGACCGGCGGCCCGCACCCCGCACCCGGCGCCAGAGTAGGTGAGGGTGCCCCTGCGCTCGGGGGGCTGGGGACAAGGGTGCGGGTAAAGGCAAAAGAAAAAGAAGGGCAGGCTCGAGGTCTCAGTTATGAAAAAACGCGTTGAGCTCTTCGTACATGGGGCCCCGGTCGTGGTGAAGGTGCATATCGTAAGACAAGAGATTCTCGGAGTGGACGCCCCCGCGCACCGCGGACGAGCCGAAGACCAGCCCGTGGCCCGCGGGCCGCGAACCCGGCAGCGCTGAGTAGTGCATAGAGTAATGGTAGCTCTTCTCGTGGTCGGGCGACGAGTCCTGCTTGAGCGAGAAGTTGCCGTTGAGACAGAGCGGGGGACTGAGCGGGCCCTCGTACTCGGAGCTGTTGTAGTCCGGGCTCGCGCCGCCGCCGCCCGCCGCCGCGTACAGCGTCTCGTAGGCGGCACAGTAGCCGTGGGTCCGCAGGGCGTGCGCCGCGCCGCCGCCCAGGCCGCCCGCCGCCTGGCACTGCGCGCCCGCCAAGCGCGAGCACGGGTACGGGTAGGGGTGCATAGCGAACGGGCCTCCGGAGCCGTGGAAGCGGCCCGTGCCGTCAGCGCCCTGCTCTGTGAGGAAGTTGCGCGAGTTGAGCTGCAGGCAGCCGGCCACCAGGTTGGTGGTGGGCTGCGACAGGCCCTTGCACAGCGTCTGCACGTAGGACACCAGATCCGGCCGCTTGCCCGAGCGCAGGATCTCCGAGAGCGCCCAGATGTAGTTCTTGGCGAGCCGCAGCGTCTCGATCTTGGACAGCTTCTGCGTCTTGGAGTAGCAGGGCACCACCTTGCGCAGGTTGTCCAGCGCCGCGTTCAGGTCGTGCATCCGGTTACGCTCCCGGGCGTTCGCCTTCTGCCGCCGCAGCTTGGAGCGCTCCAGGCGCGCCTTGGTCATCTTGCGCTTCTTGGGCCCGCGCTTCTTGGGCCTCTCGCCCTCTGCCTCGTCCAGCCCCTCCTCCTCTTCCTCTTCCTCCTCTTCCTCGACCCCCAGCTCGCCTTCCTCCTTGACCTCGGCCAGCGCGGCCTCTGGCACGTCTTCCGCACGGAGAGGGACTGGCTTGGCGGCCCTGGCGGGCCCCGGAGCCCCGGGCCCAGGCGGCGGCGGGGGCGGGGGCGGCGCTTCGCCCTTGTCACTCCTCGGCTCGTCGTCGTCGCCGTCGCCCCAGCTGGCGAACTTGGGCACGTCCGAGAGGAGACCGGGCTCGCTGAACAGACGGGTCAGCATGGTGCCTGAGGGCGCCCCACGGGCGGGAAGGGGAGACACAGCACAGAGTGAGGGGCTTGCCGGGGCCAAGACGCCTTCCCCCAACCCACCTCCACCCCGGGTCCGGTGAGGGTTCTCGCCCAGGGGACACTGGACGCCCACCTCCTCCGCCTGCCCCGCCCAGGGCCGGCCAGCACCGGCCCCGCCGGGCGGCGCGCCAGCCCGAGACCTGGGCTCAGGCCCTGCGCACAGCCCCGGGCCCCGGCTCCGCCCCGCGCCCGCGCCAGGGGCCGCTCCCCACGCTGGGGTCTTCTCGGGGTCGCAGCGGGGGCCGGGCAGGGGCGTTGGGGAGCGGACATCTTCGCCGGGGGAGGCGGCGCCCTCTCCCTGAAAGCCTGTTCTCTCCCGGCGGCGAGGAAGGCTGGGCGGCTGCCGGCGGGGACAGCTGCCCCGCTCCGCGGCCCCGGCGGCCCCGGCCCCTCCGCCCGGCTCCCCACCCCTCCCGTGGCTCTCACCCCCACGCTCCCTAATCCAATTTGCAACTTGGCCGCGCGCCGCCCGCAGCTCGGCCCCCATCCCCGCAGCCTCAGTTCCAGAGGCGGGTGGACGGTCTCCTCTAACCGCGCGTCCCCAGCTCTCGGCGCCGGCGCGGGCGGCGAGCGCGGAGGAACCGGGCGCGGGGAGGAGCCCGAGAGGAGCGAGCCCCGTCCGTCTCCCCTGCGGCCAGGGACCCCCGTCCCCTCCTCAAATCGCCTCCTTCCCACAAAGCTCTTCAGATCTCGTTGTATTTCGGGATTGATGAGAAAAAATCCAAATTTGTTTGCTTCTCTCTCTCCCTCTTTTTCTTATTTTCCTTTTTTTTTTTTTCGGCAATGGGGAAAGGTCGCGGGTTCCTCCGGGAAAACCACGGGGGGGGGTCCCATCTCAGCCTCTTCAGGGCCCCTCCTTGATCCTGCGCCCCCCGGGCCGGGCGCAGGCGGAGACGCCTGCCCCCGACCCCGCGAGCTGCAGCCCCTGGGGGAGAGGGAACCTGGGGCGCCTCCGAGGCTCACCCCCCGAGGGGGCATCTCCCAGGAAGGGGGGACTTGGGGACCCCACTGTCGGCCGGAGCAGCGGCCCCCCGCCCCCCTTGCGGCCGGCGGGTCAGACCTGGCTCCCTTTCGGACAACTTACCTCGGAGAGGAGTCGAGGGGAGAGGGGAGGGGAAGGGGAGGGGGCAAGAGAGAGAGGGGGGAGAAGAGGAGTCTTCTCGCTTATTTCATTGTTCCCCCATCGTCAGGGAGCGGGGGCAGCGGCTCCTCGAGGCGCGGGCGCCGGCGTCTTCAGAGCCACGCGAGCCGCGGAGCGAGTGTAGCATCTCTACCAGGCGGGGTACCAGCCTCTATGCCAGGCCATATGGGCTTGGCACGTCACGGGCAGCAGCTATCACATGAGAGACGGTGATTGGCATGCGTCTGCATTGGGGGAGAGCCGGCTCCCCCGGGACCCGCCGCCATCTGTCACTCTCTACTCCAAAAAAAAAAAAAAAAATTAAATAAATAAAGGAAATAAATAAATATCTCTGTCGCCCTCCCCTCCTGCCCGACGCAGGGAAAGCAACGATGGAGAGGCAGGTGGGAGGAGTTGCCCCCCCTTGGACCCGGGGCCCCCACATGAGGACAATGCGGTGGCCTCGAGACCGGAGTTGCAGGGGTCGTGGCGGCCCCGGATTCTATGCTCCCTCCAGGGTCTTGCTCTGTCCATTTTCCCCCCTTGCAGGCCCCCCAAAGGTGGGTCAGGGATCAGATCTCAGGTCTGGGTAAGGGACCTCTTTGCTTGTCTACCGCCTGCCGCCCCCCCCCACCAGGAGAATCCCCTTGACCACAAAGGGACAGATGAGGCCCCTCCCTGGGTGGGTGTGGGGGGCGTCCCTGGCCCAAGCCCCATAGGTAGATGTTGGCACCCTGCCATCCCTCATCCTCGTCTGCCCCTCCCCCACCCACCCTCACGCACACACAACATATGTGGCTGAACGAAATTCAAACCTAGGGAAAGAGAAAAGGAAAGACTTGCCTGGATGTCTGTGCCTCTGCATGGGCGTGTGTGTGTCTGTAGGGACATGTGTATCTATCTGTGGAGTCAGCCGATGGGAGAGGTTTCCTTGCATGTTTAGGGGTGTATTGTGTTGGGGTGGAGTGGAGAGGAATCCCCGGGATGAGCCTCTGTGCCCACCATCTGGGGGTGGGGGACAGGGTCTCAGTCTGGATTCCCAGCCCAGAAACCTCATTCCTCACCCGCCAACATCCCCTCCCCTTGCTAGACAAGTGGCTGTCCCACCCAAATCTTTCTCTCCTGGCATTCTGACTCACTTATTTGAGGGGGGAGGGAATTGCCTAAAGCATTCTCCTCCCCCTGGGGAAAATAAACAACCCCAAACTTAAAATCCTGAGGCCAAGTACAGCAGTCCTGAGAGTGACCAAGGGTAGGGGGGTCAGACAAGTGTCTGGACAAGGAAGGTAGGGAGGAAATTGCTGTTTTATCTTACAGCTCACCTTCCAGCCCTCTCTCTGGGCCAGACACAGATGCAAAAGGCACGGGCTGAGGGATGTGACTTAAGACACACACACACACACAGACACGCACACACACCTGTTCCTCACTCTGTGGTGCAGAAAATGGATCCACACCCCTCCTCACACAGACATGTGTGTGAGCAGGTAATCACAGCCAGGTGTAGAAAGACCCTTGCTCACACCCTGATTCAGGCATTTGCATGTTTCAGACCCACGTTTCAGGCCCCTGTCCCCACTCTCCAGACCACGTACACACGGACGGCTTCGGTCACACCTTAGGCACAAGCAGGCTGATGTCCACCGTGTGCCAAGCACTGTGGTGGCGCAAAGACAGAGGGCAGGGACTTGGCCCTCGATCTGGACAGATTTAGCTTTCTCCTACTGGGAGCCTCCGAAGGGGTTCTCGGCCTAGTAAGACATGGATGCGATGCTTGGTAGAATGAATTTGGTTCTGAATAGAGTTACATACAATGAATGGCTAAGAAGACCTTGGAGAAGGGGTCCTGGTGCTGTCTCCCGCTCTCCGAGGCACGCGATTGGAACCAAGAAGAGCCTCAGAAAGAACAGCCCCAAACCTTCCTTTCACAGAGGCCCACAGAAGGGCACTGGCCCCTCCAGAGCACCTGAATGGGGAGCAGGGGCCAGGGACTTGAGGCCCAGCCCAGTACCCCGTCCACAGCCCTGCAATCTGCCTCGGTGCTCTCCCAGCGTGAGAAGCTGATGGTGCGTTTTCCTCCATTCATGGATCTGGTCTGAGAAGGTAGAATCCCGCCTCTGGCAGATGGTCTGGGGCACTCTGGCCACGGCAGAGAGAGACGCCAAAGGATAGGCCTCAGGTGAGGCAGAGACCAGGTAGGCTGGCCAGGACCCTGTGCAAGTTTGGGAACAGCCTCAAGAGCTTCCCTGTTCCTTTACTGAGGGCGGAGTCTTCCAACCTGACACTCAGCCCTTCTCCAGCCGCCCAGTCACATGGCATTTTGGTGACCTGCGCAGGCTCTGGGCTCTGAGTTCTGGCCACCCCTACTTACTGGCTTTAAAGAATGCCAAATGCCTTGGGCAAGTTGCATAACATTTTACAGACTTGATTTCTCCACCTATAAAATGGGGATAATTATGCTACACTTCACAGAGCTGCTGCAATGTAATGAGCCTTCAGTAAACACGAGCTCTAGTTTTAATGAAAGCACCTTGTAAATTGTAACATGCTTCACAATGTTAACTTCCTGCACCTACCGCCCCCCACACACTCCGAATGCTTTGTCTGCGCAGGAACCAAATGCTCCTGGAATTCATGGGTGAAGAAGTGAATGGATGCTTCCTCGGGGTAGAGAGATACCCCCACCCTGCTCCCCACCCAGCCCCGGCCTTTGGACACTGCGGTTCTGGTCGGGCCTCACGGGCCCCTACAGGCTCCAAGCAGGAGACCAGAGGCAGAAGCTTGCCTAGGGCAGGGGAGCCGATGGAGGCCCGCCTAGTCCTCCCCTGTCTCCTGTCGGCCATGACATCAGCGCCGTGGGCCTAGAAGGCCCCTCGGCCCTCGGAGACGGTGGCCGGGGGTGCCTGCCAGTGTGGGGACCCTCATCCCTGGCAGTCTGTCTGCTGCCCCTGTCTTTTCTTCCTTCAGAAAAATGGAACAAGTGTTTCTCACTCGACACGTTTCAACTTTTTTTAGAAGATACAATTAAAAAAAAAAAACCGGGGAAAATTGGAACAGAGGGAGGTGTGGGGTGGGCCCGCCCCAGACATGGGCTCGAAAGAGGCACAACACACACGTGTCCGCATGCACAGGAGCGGGCGCGAACACGCGGGGACATGCGTGCTCCTCTCTGCACCCAGAGACGCAGAGACGCGGTGACAGAGAGACAGAAAGAGCCAGAAATGGAAGGAAGGAGACAGAAGGAGAAGGACACCCAGAGATGCCATCTGTTCCTCCCCCTGGCATTGGGGGAAGGGAGCTGGTGAGGGGCCCAGTCCCCCCGGGTCTCCGCGCGGGGCAGGGGGGCGGTGGGCGCGCCCCGGCCAGGCCTGGGGGGCTCGGGTCTCCGCGCCACCCCCCCCCCCCGGGAGCCGGAAGCCCAGTTCCCATGGAGACGGGCCCGTCCCAGGGGAGGCCCCCGCCTGGGCACCTAAGATGGCTGCTCGCAGGGCGGCGGCCATTTTGTGCAGCCCGGGCCCGGCCGGGCGGCGGGGGCGGCGGGGCGGCGGGCCTGGGACCGGGCATTCCCGAGCAGTCCCGGGGAATCTGGCTCGGAGGGCAGGACGGGAGTTCCCGTCAAGCCGCTCTCGTCGCACCCCCTGCTCCACAGAAATAAACCACACACGAATCTGTGCAGGCTGCGCTCTGACGCCGCCACGGCCGCCAGGCCCCGAGTCAGAGTCGTGGGGCAGCGTGCGGGAGAAGGGGACTTGGCTTCCCACCGAAGCGCCAAGCCGTGGGGAGCAGGTGGACGAGGAGCCAGGTGTCCGGTCCCCGGCCAGGGCCGCGAAGCCGCGTCCCGGGGCCTCCCCGGCCCAGGCGGGCGGGCAGGTGGAGGGTGGGAGCGGCCACACGAGGAGGGGCGGCCTGTCCTCCTCGCCCCCCGGGTTCGAGGGGCAGGGCAGGGCTTTGGGGACCCGCCGAGCGCCCGTGCTCCTGGCACGAGCCGCGCCGTGGGGAGAGGAGGGGGGCAGGCTGGCACGGCCCAGACGGAGCCTGTTCCGTCAGTTGGGGAGGCTCGAAGCCTCCTCCCGAAGCATAAAAGCACCTGCCACCCCCGTCCCCAGCCCCCTGCCCACCTCGAGTCCTAAAGGGCCTTGGGGGGAAGGGGACCCGCCACTTCTCCCTGCTCCGGGTGGGCACCTGCCCCACGGCCCCCTCCCCCCACCCGCCGCAGTGTTCTGGGGAGCGGCGGGCATGCCAGATGGCGTGGCTGGGAATGCGGCGACGTTGCCGGGAGGTGAGGGCTGGCACGGGCGATGTGCGGCTGCGTGCCTTGTGGTGCCACCGGGGAGGGGGCGGGGAGGAACGGCGAGGTGGCCCCCTCCTCCCTGCCCACGACCTCCTGTCCTGACCTCCAGCGCACTACCGGGATTCTCCTCACTTCCTTGGCCTGTGCCCTGGGGTCTCGTTCTGGGTCTAGGCCCCACTCAAAGACCGCTGGGCACCTGCCATGAGGCCGGGTGTGATCCTGACATTCCTCAGTCACGCTCCTGCCCCACCCTTGACCTTCTCCCCTGAACCTCAGACAAAGGGTAATGGAGGAGACCTGCTACTCCTTCAGCAAAGCCAGCCCCCTCTGGAGTATTCCCTTCCTCCAAAAGTACAGTGACCTTTGCCCCATAACCTTTGGCTTCTGGCCTCTGAGCCCCATTTTTCTGATAGAAGCTCCTTCCCTGATGGGTACTGGTCCCTGAGTCTCCCTTTTGTCAAATGGTCCCTGGATGGACACCTCCTCCTAGGAGCCTTCCCTGACCTCCCCCAGCAGGGCAGCTTCAGCCCTGGCCACCTTCTTAAGAGGATCCACTTACCCATCTGTCTCCCTCACTTGACCGTGGTGGTGACTATGTCTTAATAGTCCAGTGCTTCATACAAGCTGTATTGAATTGGTGCTCAATAAATGCTTGTTGTGTTCATGCCTGGCTGGCACTGAGGGTGTGGGGCACTTCTCCAGAGA